TTTGGAGTGCCAGCTGATTTGATAGATGCCTCAGCATTTCTCCTGGGAATTATGAACTGAAATTTATTATTATAAATTGAGTTCTTCTTGCAAGTAATAAACACCACAGCTTGTACCTGATCAGGAACTCAAATCCTACATGCTGAGGCCGAGAGATCGATGTTCTTCTGCCGGGGCTATTTCAGGCTCCTGAAGGATCCTCCCCTGGGTACTGGTACCTTGCTGACTGTACTGATTGCACAATAGTGAGGCTATCAGCATCTTTTTTGTGAGGAATGCATCTTCTCCATGTATTCTACTTAACTCTGATGCAGCACTGATTTTACAGTAGAAAAGATTCCCCCTTTAACCTAATTTTCCAGCCGAGCTGACTGGACATGATGATTTTTCTTTCTTGTAAGGGAAGAAACAATGGGCTGTAGCTCTAGCTATATATTTAAAAGCTGGCATCTAAGAAGCTTTCCTCAAAATTTCAATACAAATGAAAGAGATTTAGGAAATAAAATACTGCTTAGTCAGACAGCATAGAGCAGGAGGTGAAGGACAGGAAAAAACCCAGCACACGTCCCTGTACCTTCATCTCAGAGGGAAGAATAACAAACCAAACACAAGCTGCATTACTAAGTGTCATTTTTTAGCCATCATTAAAACATACCCTTTTACCTTTCCAGAGGCAGCTAAAACCAGCTGCCAGATATCTACTCCAAGCCTCAATCCTACTGTGCCTGTCCTACCAGGTTTGCTCGAATTTCCTCCTCACTGAATGATGCTTGTAAGGCAAGGAAATTTTTCCATGGGTTGTATCTGTAAAATATTCCACAGGGGTGAGTCTCTGTGCCCACTGCTGACTTCCATGGGATCCTCGATGAGCAGAAGGCAGCAGCCAGGGAGGATTAACTGCAGGATCACATCCTGTGGAACTCGCTGAGCTACCAGGCTAGTTTTGAACTCAAGATTCGAGGGAGGCTCAGTTTAAAACACAATTGTTCCAAACACGTGGCACCTAAACCTTATTACCACATTCCCAACTGCTGAACACCCTGAAAGTGTCATGAAACCACGGACTTACAACAATCTAAAGGCTCTTCATGCAAGTGAAACGACACCGGGGTGGTTTGGTGCTCCAAAGCACCTCTGGTGCTCAGCAGGCCCAGATGAGAAACACTCAGTTCTTGGCTGGAGTTAAGGAAGTTTATTTAAAAAGTAGAGGAAGGGCACAAACACCTAAGGACACACAACCAAACAGACTCTGTTGGTTGCACATCCTGAAATTAGGAAAAATATAACCCCCCAAAAAAAAGTACAAACAGGAAAATGTAACTGATATTTCTGTCTTCCAAGTGTTGCTTTTAAAGCTGTTCTGAACATCGCCATAGATTTCTCACAATGACACTGGATTATCTCATACTCCCATCAGATTGGGTCCAGACTCAGATCTAAGTTTTTGCACCAAAAGCTCTCATGTGTGGACAGTGAAGCCTCAGAAGGAGGAGTGACTGCTGAAGGGAAGTGCTGTTCCACACGAAGAAAATCCCTGCTTCCAACATCCATAAAACCTCCACGTGAAGCCCTGATTCATAAAAGTTAATGAGCTTGGTCAGAAGTCCTGCCCTGGCTCTGGAGATGGATGTGCTTGCATGACACAACACAACAGGGCATGTGGATTCCCAGCCTCAGCACAGCCACACAAACACATCCCAGTGGAGCAGAATCACCTCCCTTCACCTTTTCAGAACAGTCCTACAGGAAACTATGTCATGTGTACCAAGGCATAACTTAAAATCCTCTCTTTTTATGCAGAATGCTTAAAATGTGGACAAAGAGCTTCTCTGTACTGCTTTATAAATCTGATTCCAATTTCACCCTTATGTGAAAGGATTCACTCCAGGATGGAGAGATGGGTGCTCTGGAATATCAAGTCTTTGGCTTCTCTATTGAAACTGCCAACCAAGGCCCATTTGGTACCAGTTATTTGCTTTCAGAGACACTTGTCCATCAGGTCCCATCCTGAAAATCCCATTTCACATTGGCAACCAAGTGAATCTGGATTAGCAATCTGGGGACAGAAGTCTGGGCACCACCCCAGTCCTGCCACCACGTCTGTCCCAGCTTTCAGACCCTGCTGTGCCCAGGACTGAAAAGCTGCCTCACACCTGCCCTGAGCACCAGAGCCACTCAGTCCTCAGGGGCTCTGCCAGACCCCAAAACACTCACGAGGCAACATTCAGATGGATAATTAGATATGAAATAAAGTTGCTTGTTTTCTCTAGAGACGCTGGAACGCAGAGAACCACACACCACTGGCTGACTGGTAATGAATGCTCATGTTTTCCTGGGTTCAATTCTCTCCTGAAATGAGACAAAAGCCACCCCAACAAAGGGTTTCCCCAGGTCAGGCTCAGCATATGAATTGAGAATGCCCAGCCCAGGCATGTTGAATCTGACAGTCAGATTCTGTTTGCATCCCTGGGCAGAAAAGAATGCTGACCCGTGACAAACCAAGGAAAAAATAAACTAAGACAGTCATTATATTTTATCCATCTGTATCTATTCCACAGCTGGACATTGCCTGAGCCTGACAGGAGTAGGATACAATAAGCTTCCTTCTGGATGCAGCAGAACAGGCAGTGCTGGAGTCAAAGGCTCCAGCTGTGTTTGCACAACTGACATTATTTTCTAACCTTCTCCTGTTTCAGCTCAGTGCAGGAGCAGAGCCTGCCAGCCAGGAGGGGACAGCAAGGATCACCTTCTCTCATCCCAGCTGCCTGGAATGAGGCAGGACACGCAGATGCCAGATCACGGCTGGCTGAGGCGCAGCTCTTGCTGCAGCAGGAGGACACGAGGATGATGTTACTTCATGGCTCTGTGACTCCACCTGATGCCAGAGACAGGGCAGCAGGAGGCTGCACAGCACCAGAGGAAAAAAATCATTGGCAACAAGAAATTTCCCATCTTCCTGTGGCTGGGAAGTTGGCTGTGCTGCTGAGCCATTCCCTTCAGGAAGGGCACAGCAGGGCACACCCTCAAGGTTAGCATAGCCACAGCTTTGTGATGATGAGACAAAAACCCCAGGGAGGCCCTGGTGAAAGCCCTGAGCTGCACCGGCTCTGCCTGCCTGGCCTCAGATTTCTCCAGTAATTCCCTGACAGGGAAGGCTCCGTGCTCCCAGCACAATCACTACAGCAGTGACCTGGCATAAAAGCATCCTCCTAAATGAGAGAGCAGCACTCAAGCCTTGAAAATCGTGTGCCCTTCTGCAATCAGGCTCTGCCATGTTTCTCACAGTGAGTAAGGCCTTTGGAACTCTTCCCTTTAGCCCATGTTCTGAATATCTGACTCTTCAGCCAAGTACTTAATCACCCCTGTCTTAACTTCCTCAATTAAAAAAAAAAATCCCCACAAAACAAGCAGCCAGGCAGCTTTCCAGGCTATACAACCTAAAATATCCTTCCTACTAGAGATATTTTCACATACAAACTGAACTCAGTGAGTCAGCTCTCCTCAGAGAGATCGCAGGGAAGGGATGTGGGTGTTTCTTCTTGTGCCTCACTGGCTACAATAAAAGATATTGACAAACTGTGGGAGTTCAGAGGAGGAGCAAAAACGGTGAAGGGACAGAAGGGATTGAGCTAAAATGAGGAGGAAGAGCTGAAAACATCTTTTAGTCAGTAACTCATATAACAGATGATGATAGAATGTACATGTTTGAGTTTTATGTAAAAATACCAAGGAAGAAGGAGAATTATCTAATCTTGCTTATGGAAGGATAACTCCAAGGGTAACAGGTTTTACACTCTGAAGTATTTAGGGTAGTGACCATCTTCTGCTGTTTGCCCAGCACCCAACTACTTGGAGCTTCATTCACTGCCATAATCAAACAAATAACTATTAAAAAAAGAAGAAAATCTAGGCAACAAGCTATGATGTGCAGGATGGCCACCCAGGGACAGCAGCAGGAGCTCCTGTGCATGGAATATATGAAAAACAATTACGGTTATGACTGATTCATTCAAGAATCACATCCTGCTCCAGCGGCGCTGGGCTGGGATCCCACATTCTGCACAGCCAGAACCCAAAGGCCACGGGCAGCACAGGCAGACACAGAGATAAGAGACACTCAGTAGGAGCCGGGGATCAACAGGCCACGGGGGTTTGTCCCCTGTCTCTCTAACCTTTAGGACTGTGTGACAAAACATACCTTATGTCGACAAAGGGGTTTGATACATTCCAGCCCGTATAGAATGGATGTCCACAGCTACCCTGAAACTGCAGCCAGGCGCAGAGCAGAATCTGTCTGCTTGAAAACCACGGTTGTGTAATACACGAAAGCAATTTCTGTGGGAAACCAGACAGCTCTGACCCTCACAGACAGCACTCAGGCTGCACACTGGGCTGGCCAAAATCCAGGTAAAGGAAGGGACAGCAGGGACAGAGAGCAACCACGAGCCTTTATGGTCAAAAAACAGCACCAGCTGAGCGAGGGGAGCTACAGACCTGCCCGTCCCTCACATTTCCCACCAAGGAGCCGATTACCGGCCCCCCCCACCCCACCCTCACCGCGGGGACCGCCGGGCGGGGTGGCCCCGGCCCTGCCCCGGGTCCCATCCCCGGGGTGCTGAACCCTCCCCGTCCCCGGGGTGCTGTGCCAGCCCGTCCCCAGCGCGCTGACACCCCCCGGGGGTCCCGCCCGGCTGAGGGGGCGGCGGCGCCGGGCGGGCGGGCGCTGAGGGGGGGCGATGGGAAGGGCCGGCGCGGAGGGGATGGGGCGAGGTCTCCCAACGCCGTGAGGGCCGGTGGGCTCCCGGCAGGGTGTCCCGGTGCCGACGGCGCCCGGGTGGTGCCCTCAGCCCCCCGGTACTCACTCAGCCACGACTCCAGGCTCTCCCCCTCCGCCTCCGCCATGTTGCCGGCGCGGCCCGAGGCCCCGCCCACCCCGCGCGAGACCCGTGCGAGGGGGCGGGGTCTGCGCCGGCCCCGCCCCCCGCGGCGGCGCGCGCAGGGAAGATGGCGGCGCCCAGCGTGGCGGGGCTGGGCCGGCGGCTGCGGGCCTGGGTGCCCCGGTGAGCGGCGTGAGGGGACCTGACGGGGAACACGGGCGGCTCGGTGGGCTGGGCGGCATCCAGGGCACACGGGCAGCACGGGGGGAGGCCAGGGGGCGGCTCAGCGGGAGCACGCAGGAGGTGGGGGGGGTCTGCGCCGCACAGGGAGCGCACGGAGAGGCCGCCCGCCTGCTGGTTGCCGGGCTCACGGAATGACGGAATTATAAAAACATCAAGGTTAGAAGTGACCGTTAAGATTATTCAGTCCAACTGTCCATGTAATCACTAAACCACATCACCCAGCGCCAGATGCAGACGCTTCCGGAACACCTCCGGGGGTGGTGACTCCACCGCCGCCCTGGGCAACCTGATCCAACGCCTGACCACCCGAATAGTGAATAATTTTTGTAATATCTAACCTGAATCTCCCCAGTCTTAGCTTAAGGCTATTTTCTCTGGTCCTCTCACCGCAGGCACAGCAAGAGACCAACCCCCACCTCACCACAATCTTTCAGGTGGTTGTGGAGAGCAATGAAGTCCCCCCCCCGAGCCTTCTTTTCTTAAGACTAAAACACCCCAGCTCCCTCAGCTGTTCCTCGTAAGACACGTTTTCTAGACCTTTCACGAGGATGATGTTACTTCCTGGGTTTACGGTGTTGGTCTGTGCCCTGGGCTCTGCTGCAGTGATGGAGAGGAAGGCAGAGATGCCTCTCACATCTAACGTGTCCTTCTGAGACGTGTCCACATCTGCCCACATCCCTGTCACGGCATGTGTGAGGTTACAGCCCCCCTTCTCTTGTCCCTCCAGGCTGATGCAGGTGAGATGGAGCCGCTACAACCCCAGTTACTTGGAGCCAGAAGTGAACAAGGAATTGTACCAGAAACCTTTGGAGGAGCTGACTGAGGAGGAAAAGGAACAAATGGACCTCAAGGCTGTTCGACCCATCAAAGCTGCTCCTCCCACTCTGTCCAGCTCTGTGTTCAGCGACCCCATGATCAGGTCAGAGAAAGCAGCAGCTCCTCCTCTCTCACAGGATCCCACGGAGCCACAGTTCTTGGGAGCTGTGCTGCCCTCCTCAGCCTTCACTCCTGGCTGCACATTGCCTCCTGTTACAACACAGTCCCTTTATTCTGGGTTAATCTTTTCCCATCAGCCAGTCCATTGTCCTACAGTGATTAGAGATAATTACAGATCTAGAAGCACCCAGACTTAACCATGGGAACAACACAAAGGGGTGGGGGGAGCTTATTTGTGTGGGTGGTAAAATCAGAATTCAGCTCAGATCCCATCTGACTTTGTGTTTTCAGTAAATTCACCAATATGATGATGAGGGATGGAAATAAAGTGCTGGCCAGAAGCCTCATGACTCAGGTGAGAACTCCTGTTTCTTCTCTCTATTATGTTAAAACAAGACAAAATGGAAGGCTGGGACATCAAACCCACTGGAATTGGGAATTACCAGAACTGATGTCATCTCTGTGGTCCTGATGCCTTTCCCTCTGCAAACACACTACTCCCACCATGATAAACCATGATTTCTCTGATAAGATATACAAGCCCCAGCCTCATTAGCTCACAGACCAAGTGACACCTTAATGGAGAACCTTCTCTTTCCACTCTTCAGTATCCCTGTGACCTTCTGTACTGCAGAAGGGTATTCTCTGAGTTTAAAAGCATAATTTTCTCAAAAGATCTCCTTTCCAGCTCTCTGTCATGCTTTGCCTTCTGCATAACTTGCCCACGAAGTCCCATGAATGTGTCACCTTCATGACACAGCTTTGACCCCTGCAATGTCTGATAAAGAGACTGAAGAGATGGAATAGGGTGGAATAAAACTTGAGCTAAAAAAACTCCACTGGGTCTGTTGCTTATGGGGCTGGAAAACCATCTCAGGTGAAAATGGGGTGCCTATAAAAGTGATGTAACCTCATGGAGTGGGATGACCCATCTGCTCTGCATGTCTCCTTTCCTGCCTTTGTCCCAAGACTTTAGAGGCCATTAAGAGGAAGCAGCTGGAGAAGTACCACAAAGCTCCAGAAAATGAGAAGGAGACAATTGAATGCAACCCCCACGTCATTTTCCACCAGGCTCTGAAGAACTGCCAGCCCATCATTGGGCTCAGCAACATCACCAAAGGAGGCAAAACCTACCAGGTGAGGAGAGAATTAGCTAGGGAGGGAGATGAATGGGCTTCCACCCCTTCAGCTAAAGATTTTCTCTCCTTGGAAAGAGCTACTTTGCAATCTGGATTAAAACAGCACCTAGAAACTCTGCCCAAGATCAGGACTCCCACCTATGAGCGTGGTAATTCCCCTGTCAGGGTCACTAAGGTTGGAAAAGACCTCTAAGATCCTAGAGTCCAGCATTAAGCAGCAGCAGACTCTGGTTTTCTGACTAGGTTTGAGGAGAAGTGCACAGCAAGTATTTTCCAAGGAGACAGAGACCAGCAGCAAAAGAATTGGCAGTCCTGGGACTACCAGTCCCATCTTCTCAGCATCGTGTTGCTTGTGGAGAGGTCCTAAAGCCCTGGGGCAGGTCAATGTGGCAGAAAAGGTCAGCTAGATCCAGTGTGATGTTTAAAACATGAGCAGAACCAGTTTCTGAATACAGGCTGTGCAACCCTCAGAACCTGATGGAGAGATGAGATGTGGAGGCATTTGGAACTAGATGATGGAGGTTACATGACCTTTAAGGTCACTTTTAACTCAAACTATTCTGTGATTTCTCTGTATTCGGTGCAGGGATGGGGTGACCTCTCCCATCTTTGCCAGAACAAACCAGCCTGGATCCAGCTCCCATTTAGGCCAGAAGTCCACTCAAAGGCCAGTGCCAGTACCCATGGCTGGTCAAAATTTCCATTTTGGTAGCAGTGGCCAGTTCTGTGGACAGAGGAGGAGAATTGGCACGGACCAGCTGTCAGGAGCAGGTCTGGCTGCAGAGAGCAGCACAGTGCACTTCTGCAGGTGCCAGCTGGTCCTGTGTGGCTGCTGGAGAGGAGCAGGAGATAACTGCTGTGCTTTGAACCTTTCCCAGGTGCCCGTCCCTCTGAAGGACAATCGGAAGCGCTTCCTGGCCATGAAGTGGTTGATCACCGAGTGCAGGGAGAACAAGCACCGCCGGACACTGATGCCTGAGAAGCTCTCCCAGGAGCTGCTCTTGGCCTTCAAAAACGAAGGGCCCGTCATCAAGAGGAAGCACGCCCTGCACAAGATGGCAGAGGCCAACAGGGCTTACGCCCACTTCCGCTGGCAGTAGGGACTCACAGGGACACGGTGCCACGGCCTGGAGAGCAGAGCCCCAGGGCTGCCTGCCTGGGAGAGGCTGGGGAGAGGAGGGAAGGGTGGACCATCCCTTCCAGACTGCTGCTGATCAAACCCAGGGAGAGCTCACACCATCCCCATGAGGTTCATTTCCTTTGTGCTTGTTTGGATGGGGGAAGGGGGAATCTGAGTTACCGACCCTGGCAGGGATGCTCTAGTTCTTTCATAATCACTTTCCTGTGAAGACAAGCCTTAGATGTTTTTCTTAGAGCAATGTCATCTTTCACTTACCTGTTTCCTGGGGACTTGGAAGTCTCTCTGCTCCTGAAATCAGCAACGTTTCTGGCTGCACAGCTAAGAGCAGAGCTGGATTTTTTCCATACCACAACCAGCCTTAGCAGGAATGGAACAACAGGTAATAAAAGGCCCTTTTTCATTTTTGGTTCTGATCATCAGCAACACTGTCTGCACAGATTTGATGGGAATGGTAACAAGAAAATAAAACCAGTTTTATGGGGAAGGTTTCTCAATTCCAAACCTTGGTCTGTGTTGCTTGAATCTCACACTGCACTTTCCAGCTACCCTGGTTCTGGACAGCCAGGCTAATGCCTTACACTGGAGCAGAAACACTGTCAGCCTTAAAGCTTCAGTCAGGAGCAACCCTTAAGCATTGTTCAAAGCTCAGCAGCTGCACAGAGAGAAAGCAGGGCACGTGTTAGTGGAAAACTTTTATTAGAAAAAATCCTTCAATAGACTATTTTGTTTCCTTTCTTCCTCTCCCATTCCTATAACAAACATCCCATGGCTGAAACTCGCTAAATTGTGAAAAAAAACATGACAGTTATTGTATAAAACTTATAAAACCTGTTCCTACATGTGCTCAGGGACCTCTCCTGGCAGGTATTCCTGGCTGTGGGAGAGGCCATGTGCATGCAGGTGCAGCCAGCGTCCTGGAAGGAATCTGGGAAAAAAAAGCACTTGGTTGAGCTATTTGTGAGGCCACAGTGTGTTCTGTGACCTGTCCCAGATATCCAGGTACGACCTGAGCTGTGAGATTTCCCTGCTGCCTCCCACGGCTCTGCTGGCTTTGGGGTGAAGCAAAATGTTCTTAGCCTAAACTGTGCTTTCCTTACCACTCATAGAAAATGCTGGTGTGAGCTAGAAGCCTTAGGAGCCCTTTGCTGGCAGCAGCCCAATATTAAGACAGTATCAGTGGGAGAACTTCCTGGGATAAACGTGCCCTTCCCACTGCTCCAAACCTCCGAAGTCAGGCCAGCACCAGCTGCAGCCTGACTGTAGGTGCCCAGGGGCTCTAGCCAGTATAAATCCTATTTACAGGAAGTGCTAGAAAATTAAGGTGAAAAGAAATTCCAACTTGGTACGAAGCTTGCTGGTGAAAGTGCTGGGGACTCCCCTCCTCTGCCGCGCGTGGTTAATCCGTCACTTCGCTGTAATAGTATTTCTGGGCAGCGTCTGTCATCTTCCAGTCAGCAGCACGGAACTCGATGATCTCCAGCAGCAGGAGCTGGGACAGGGAGCTGAGCCCCTCCTGCAGTAGGAAGCCATCTCGGAGGAGGGAGAAGAGCTCATCCATCCGCTGGGAATTCATCTTCTCCAGCTGCTCCCCGATGCGGTGGAGCTGCAGGACCAAGCAGTCCACCTTCAGAAGGAAGAGCAGATGGCTGAGCACAAAGCAATGGAGAGCTCCTCTGCACCCCCCGGGCTGTGCTTTGTGCAGGTCCTTGGCAGGACAAGGGGCACATCAGCAGCTCTCCCCTGCACTCACCTCTTCCTCCTTCTGCAGGCTGTCAGGCTGTGCCAGCCGGAACAGACAGTCATAAACGGGGTTCACCAGAGCCATCATGGGCATGTTGTTCACCTGCAAGGAGGCAGGAGCCATGTCACCTTGGGGCCAGAGAGGGAGGAGTCTGCAGCTATTTCAAACAATTGTTCCCTTGCTGCTCTCCAAAGGAGATGGAAGCGGGATTTAGTTGTGCTGCAAAATGCCATATTGGTGGGATTTACATTTGAGTCTCCAGGAACCAGAGAAGCTGAACAAATGATGTAAAAAACATCTATTTTTAAATGTAAGCAGATAGTCTTGGGAAATACACTTGTTGCAACAGCATTTTTCCTTCTTACAGCTCTACTTGCATCATTTTTACATCTACCCTAAGCAGGAATCCAAGTTCACACACTGCAGAAAGGCCTGCAGACAAACTCCGTCAGTATGTCCCCCCAGGACCCCACAGCAACTAAACCAGTCCAGTCTGAGACATATGGGAGCAGGCAAATCAGAGGATTTCAAACACCAGGTACAAAATGAGGAAGCTGAGACTTTGTGACTGTTTGTGGAGACTCATCCTCTGCCTCTCCAGGCCTGTTGCTTGCCTGTAGGTAGCACCAGCCCTGGCAGCATCCTCATGCTGAGAACCAGCTCTGGCCCCCACGGCCCTGGGACTCCCACCCAACACCCCTGGCATCTTGGGATGCCAAGGCCCTTCTGGCACCCCAGGCAGCAGCAGCTGGGTGCTCCTGCCCTGGCTCCTCACCCTCAGGTAGTCGAAGATGTTGCAGATGAAGGTGACGTAGCAGATCCAGGCCTGGAGCGAGCGGGTGCGCAGCTCCTCCCTGTCCTTGTACTCCTGCTGCAGCCGGTTCAACAGGCTCCTCCGGAAGATGCTCTGGCCAACTTGTTTGCTCTCTGCCTACAGTCCCACAAAGGCAGGATGGAGGGATGAAACAGGGGTGTGAGAGGGGCAGGAGGATGCTGGGGGATGCAGGACCATGCAGATACCCTCTTGTGATTCCCAGGCAGAAATGCTGCAACTCACTGCCTGTGCTCACCCACTGCTCTGGATGCTGCTACTGCACGGGGCAAGCAGCAGGAGAGGAAAGGTGGCCAAGGGGTCAGAGCATGAGGCTGGGGCAAACCCTCTTCTGGTCCAGCTGGGGGACAACCCACACAACATATCCCAAGTGTTTTGTGGTCTGGCAGGAGGTCTCACCTGGATGATGGTGTAGCAGATCCGCCCTGCCTCCTTGCTGAACACACAGTCTTTCAGGGACTGGTCCACTATAATATTGGCCACTTTCTCCAGGTCCACATTGCTGGGGTCTGCAGAGAGGAGAAACATTGTCAGGACCCAGCTCTCTTTGGGCCCTGATTGCTTTGGGGTGTCTGGAAAGCATCCCAGGTCAGTGCATGGCCTGGTACAGCCACGTCGAAGCTGCACATGGCAGGGGAGCTCACAAAAACCTGCTGACCTTTGAGGGCTGTTTTCAGCAGCTTCTGAGTCTCAGAGTCAAACGACTGTATTTTGTACTCTTCTTTGCCCGTTTCCCCCATGACTGGATTCCTCCGGGGACCAGAGTCAGATGGGCTAGTGCCAGTCCCTGGGGAAAGAACACAGAGCTTAGTTGGACAGAGAGGCAAACCTTCACCTGCCATTCAGCAAATCCCTAGTGCTGGAGCACACACAGGCTGTTATCCTGACAGCTCCCCGCCCCAAGGAAACTCCTCTGTTATTAGGGCACCAATTCCAGCCCTAGATCCAAACACATCCTCACTCCTACAACTTTTTAAGCCTTGTTTCCTACCAGCCTATGATAGAACTTCATCTTCAGAGCCTTTACATTCTTCTGATATGAAAAACATGTTACAGACAAAGCAGACCCAAAATATATCTACCTTGCCTCAGAAGGCTTCACAGTGGCTGTATCACAGGGAAGCACACGCTGCTCCCTTGTACCTTTGAAAAACCAATTTAGCTGGTTTCACACAAAACCTAGGAAGAACCAAAGCTAGCATGAACACATCCAACACACGCTCACCTGAGCACCTCTCCTACCCCAAAGCCAGGTTCCCTCGGCTCCCAGAGAGTCACAGCAAGCTCCACAGCCAAATCCCCAACAGCAACAGCTCCTGTCTTATCCCCCTGCAGTCAAGCACAGCTCTGCGGCACCAACAGAGCACCTAAATAGTCTCTGGATTGATTTTCTTCTGCTCCATGATACAGAAAAGAAAGCAAGAGGGTACCCACAGCACAGAGAGGAAGGGCTCTGACAGGCACACAAGTTGATCTGCTGGATGTGAAATGCTGGGCTGCCAGACCCGCAGCACAAACAGGACAAGGCAATCGGCCAAATGAGTTTTGCCAGCTCGTCGAAATTCCTCGGCCATTACTCACCCTCTCTGCAAACACCGGATCAAAGCCCAGGAGCCCATCACCCTTTAGGGGCATGGACAGCACAGTGGGCAGCCCGACCTCTCGGACACAGCACTTGCCATGAAGCTGTGGCACCCAGAGCAGAGAGCAGCCCCGTGGGGCTGACAACCTGCTGACACTGCTCTCATAGCCAAAGCTCTCACCTGGCCCGGGACCTGCACAGGTGTCTTTCCCAGGTAGATTCACAAGCAGCTGGGTGCCCTCCGTGCCACGCCTGGTTGGCAAACACCTTCCCAGCTGACCTCTCCTCCTTCTGCACTCTCTCTCTGCACCTGCACTCACTCTCTCCTGCTGCACTGCCAGTGGAGCAGCCTGAGCTCTCCAGCAGCCCCGTGTCCCACCAGCAGCATCACCACGCAGAAGGAACCTTCAAGAGCTCAGCACTGCACACAGCGAGGCAGGAAGTGCCCGAGCCCGTCTGGCAGCGTCTCTGCCGCCGCCGCCGCCCTGCCCCTCTCCCGGAGCATCCATCCCCATGGCTCCCCGGGACGGGCACGGCTGCTTTGAACTGCCGTGCCAAATAACCCTGCCCAGAGCAAACCACAGCGTGTCAACACCAAACCAGGCGGGCCTCGCCTGCTCTAGAGCCTCTGCTGCCAGGACCACCCTGTCTGAAAGGCTGGTGGCAGTGGGTGACACCGGGCACAGCATCGCCCGTGGGTACCAACTGCTGCTCTGCAGTGATCCCCACTAGACGAGCTGTCCCTGGGACTGACAGGGTTCGGGTCAGCGCCCCCAGTCTGCCGGTGACTCACCAGCCCGGGTGCCAGGGCCATACCCTGCGGGGACACACCTGGCAGGAGGGGCTGGACAAGCCCCGGCCACTGCAAGGGGAGAGACAGAAGCGCAGCGAGTCTCCTCTGCCGCCCCTGAGCACCCGCCCGAGGGGCGCTACCAGCCCCCAGGACCCCCGTCCGGCCCCGCCGAGCCGCAGGGGAACGCCCTGCACCGAGACGCCTCCGGCCCGGGGCACCTGCGCCACCGGAGCGTCCCGGAACCCCCGCCGCTGCCTCCGTCGCTCCAGCCCCGCGGGTGGCACAAGCCCAACGGCCCCCGGACGGAGGGAGCGGCGGATCCCAGGGAAAGCAGCCCCGCCGCTGCCCCGGGCGGGGCAGGGGGAGCCGGGCACAGCCCCACCGACCTGCCGGCCGCCCCCGCTGGGTCCTCCGGCCGCCGGGACATCGCCGGCGCCTCCCGGGCCCCGCGCCCTCCCGGCACGGCCCAGGTTTCCTCTTAGGTCATTTCCTCGCCCGAGCCGGGGGAGGGCCGGGCCGGGCCGGGGCGGGAGAGCGCCGGCGGCAGCGCCACCGCCTGCGAGCGCCGGGGCACGGCGGGGCCGAGCCCCCGCACGGCCGAGCCCCCGCACGGCCGAGCCCCCGCACGGCCGAGCCCCCGCACGGCCGAGCCCCCGCACGGCCGAGCCCCCGCACGGCCGGCTGCTCCCTCGGGAAACTCCCTGGCACTTCCCAGGCACGGCCGGCTGCTCCCCCGGGCACCCCCGTGAAACTCCCGAGCACCCCCCGGGGCACGCCCGGCTGCTCCCCTGGGAGCCTCCCGGGGAACTCCCGGCCACCCCCGCAGGCACGGCCGGCTGCCCTCCCCGTTCCCCCGGGCCTCCCTGGTTGCTCCGCGGCCCCCCCGGGCCTCCCCGCCGGCGGGTCGCAGGCAGCACCTACCCCTCTATCCTGGTCTCCCGCGGGGCTCTCCCGGCGCTCTCCGGGTGAAAACGGCGTTTATTCCGCTCTCCCCTCCGGGCCAGGGCAGCTGCAGCAGAGTGGCATAAAAAAATCAATAGGAAAAAAAATCAGGAAAGGGGAAATGTGCTCAATCAACGCCCTGCAACAAGAGCTCAGTATAGCATAACACACTTCACGTTTTTCCTCTAAACTCCCAACCGTTTCACAGGGGAAGAGCCCCCGGGGGTGAAGCCTTTGCAGCAGAGCAGCCAGGCTGAAACCAGGGAACGGCTCAGGAAACACAGAACGAGCTGTCTGTTTGGGAACATTTTCTGCAGCGCTGTGTGGCCTGGCTGGAGACAAAGCCTCAACTCACCCACTGAGGGTGGGTGGCTCAGGACTGGCTGCTGTGGCTCCGACAGCCCCTCTTGGACACAGCGATGGGATCAGGCTGCACAAATCCCCCTTGGCTGATCCCTTTTGGTGAGGTTCTCAACTGTGATACCAATGCAGAGGGTACAGTTCTGCTTCCCGCTGAAGAGCACCCAGGAGCCAGCGATGGGAAAAACAGATGGCTCCTGCCATCTCACACTCTGGGCCCTGATTATCCTTCCCTTTTGGGCCACAGTGTTCCTGTGGGGTCCAGAAATAGGCACCAAGAAGAAAGGAATAAACCCACTGTAGCCAAACATGTGCATAACAAAATATTTAATGTACCTTGTCTCAAAGGTAGGCACACGTTGTGCTCAGACGCTTTCTGAAAACAGCAGCTGCGAAAGATCCGCTCAGGCAACACAGCAAAACACCACAGAGTTACAGTTCTACATCACAAGAGAAACTTAAACCTGAATTAAACACGATCTATTCCAATCCCGACCGTAAAACATTCATTTCTTTTCAAAAATGATGCTGTGTAGCTCTGGATGAGCATCCTGAGAGCAGGACTGTCCTAGGAACTGGAGGAGCCAGCCAGCGCTGCAGGAAGCAGCGTGTTCATCACAGACCTTGTGTGTTCACCCGTCCGAGGCCGGCTCAGCGTCGTGGTGGGGCCAGGAACAACTACAGCACGACTCCTCTGCAATGCTCTGCCTGCTAAGGAGGTTTTGGACTGTTCTGATGGTAAAAGGCACTAGAAGAAAACAAATGCAACCGCTGAGCAGCTTGTGAGGTGAAGTGCAGGCAAATCCCCGTGATAGGATTACCTTGGAGAGAAATCCCACTGGCCAATATCGGGCACAGTCGCTGCGTTGAGTCACTTCACACTGAGCCTCATTGAGTCACTTTGCACTGAACGGGAGCAGCAGCTTCCAAGAGGAAATCTGTCCCAGCATATGGGAGAACAAGGTGACTACAGATCTCTCCTCCTCTAATTCTAGGAAATTTAGCTCCTAACAGTGTGTGTTTTGCCAGAGCAGCAGCAGAAATAAGACCTTGTCCTCCTAGTGGTTCTTTCAGCCTCATTCCCAAAGAGAAAACAACATTTCTGTTACAGTCATTTCCTCCAGCAAAATGCACATGAGAAGTCTATGAGGGACAGGTGCTGCTGACCAGAGACAAGTGACTGTTGGATGCAACTCCCAATATTGTCTAGTTGAGGTTGTCATATCTTTCTCCCTCTCTCACTGGAAGCCCAGGTGCCTTTATGGGCCTGTAACATTTGTGACTCACAGTCCAAAAGGCCCTCTGCCAAAGCCCTCCGACCAGGGAGTGTCTCTTCCACAGCCTGGGCCAGACTGGCACAACTTAAACTCCGACTTTGCCACCTGTTGGGTGGAGGCAAGCTCAGTTAATGTAGAGTTGAGGAAAAAACTATCCCAGAGAGGAAAAGCTGCTCCACACTCCCCAGTGCTGCCCTCTCTGTGGGGCAGCCAAGCTGCACATGCCTGCATCACCCACAGCACCCCAGAGGAACGTCAGCAGAGCACCGACTTTCCTCTTCTTTCCCACTGCTGAGTTCCCAACCAGTTTCCACATTTTGTGCAGTTTAGTGGCAGCTCTTTGACATAAAGTGGAAAACAAGTCTTGCAACGTTCAGACAGGACGGATGAGTCCCATTTCCTAAGGAAGCCTAGGTCAGCACTGAGCATTCTCTGCTGTGGCCTGTCCCTGCTAACCATGAGAGCACTGCTCTCACCAGCAGCCAAAAGACAATAACAAACCCAACCTGTTTGTGTCTGTTTTGAAATGAGACATTTCTCTCTCTCAGAAGGATGTCAGGAGGCTGAGTTCATTCCTTATGATGTCTTTCCAAGAAAAACAGGTGAACAATAAACTAAGGCAAGACATTGTTAAGATTTTGAGCAATCTCAGAAGAGCCTAAATAACACACAAAGATGCCAATAGGATTGAGGCACTTTGAGAAACTTCATTCCACATTCTTTGCATTTTCTCCTCTGAACAAAACTGCCATTTTTAGAGCACATGCAGCTCACAGCCCCTCTTTGAGGGTCACATATCGGCCTCCTGCCTGACACTGACACTGCTCAGGGAATTTAATTTTATGCAGCTCTCAGTCACCTGCAGTGAAACAGCCACTTTGCACTCCAAGATCTCAAACCACAGCAGACATAAAGTTATTTGGCCCGGGCTTGCAAGGAATCTCTCCAGATACCTCAGCCACCAGTGAAACAGCTGCTTTTTAAAAACAGCCTCTCACAATAGCTCAGGATAAGTGAGCAATGCTGATACGTTCAAAACACCAGGAGAAGTTGTGTCAACGGAATGGAATTGGTCACGCTGGAATTTGGCCAGACCATTTGGGATTAACACCCTGAATACTGCAAAAGAGCTGGGAAAAGCTCTGCGTTAAGAGAAGAACCATGAAACCATCCTCCAAATAACTCAGGATTCTGCCCTACTCGCCCCTCACAGATGATTAAAGTTTGTACAGCAGGGCTCTTCCTCGGGACTCTTCCACACAGCCCAACCACACCCTGCCCAGCTTGAGAACACACAGAATAAAAGAGGAGGAAGAAAGTAATTTTCCTCTTTTCCACTGTTACATAAATCAGAGTTGTTGGTTGGTTGTTTTGCTGGCTTTTTTAACCACTCCTAAAACCTTTGAAACTCCAGAAAAACACTTCTCCGGCTCTAATTCAATCATCCTTCTCTTGTGAAACACCACCACTGCTCAGCCAAACAATTCCCATTTGATGTTCATTCCTTCAGCTAATCTTGTCAAAACATTTTCATCTGTTAGCGCCAGTGTAGGACTGAGGTTCAGAAATGTTTTGAGGCCACTACAGAAATACTTGCTAGAAACATTCAAAGGTGTTTGAATTATTACTAAATAAATAACAACAATAATAAAAATTTACGAGTTTCCACAGGACTTTCCCTTCATTATTCCAACTTAGAGTAAATATTTCTTAACTCCACACAGCATTTGTTTACTTGCTACACTGAAGCAAAGAACCCTGAAGTAAGAATTAGGCTTGTGCGTTGAATCCCTTCAGAGCAGGGCTCTTAATCTGCAGGTTTGCTTGTGAAAAGTAAGAGTGAGGCAATGCAAACCCCTAAGAGATGCATGGCCAGACATACCCAAGAAGAGAAATGGGAGCTCAGGATACAATCAAGCTCACTGGAGTTAAAGAAAGAGCAAGTCTGGGTCAACATGATCAGAGAAGACTCTGTGTTTAAGGTGGCTGGGAATGCACAGCCAGCAAGTGGTGACCAAGCAGCATCAGCTGGCAGCAAAGGAAAGGAAAACTGAGGGCCTGTGCACTCAGGTGGTTTTACCTGACTTCACTCCAGCAGAACAGAGTGACCTGTGTAACACCTAGACAAGGATTTGGTGCAAACAGCAGGCATAGAGCAAGGGAACAAAGCTGTGCAGCTGCAGTGCTAGGAAGGGGTGTTTGGTCGGTTAAGCTGCACTAGGCTGGGTCAGGATCCCTCTCTGGGATCCAGGGCGACCTCAGAAATTCACCCACTTTATTGGGTGCCTTTCCAGAGCACAGTTGCTGCTAGGGAATGGTCTGTTTGTTCCCTTCTCTCCATTAAATGCGTGCTTATGAGAGGAGACAGAGCTAATAAAAGTGCTCAGTTGAACAGCCTCCAGCAAAGCAGTTCAGTGTCTCCAGCAGAACTGCAGTCACCTTCTCCTTCTGCTTGGTCCCAGGAGGTGATTTCCCACAGGCTGGAGGCGCTCTGGGAGCTCTGGCCTTTCCAACATGCTCGTGACAGAGCAAAGCCATGAGTCTCCCCTCCTGAGGAGAACAGGCAGCCACAAACATCCCTGTCAGCCTTCCTTCCTCCCAGTGCTGTTGGGGCTCTTCAGGGTGCACAGGAGGCTGCAGAACAGCTCATACCAGAAGAAGACGAGGCCAGTGGAGAAGGCAGCCTTCAGCAAGCTGGGGGAAAGGCCCTTAAAGAATCCACCTGAGCCCTCCTCCCGCATGATCTGCCTCATGCAGTCCAGGAAGCCCCTGTACGTCCGTACCTGGGAGAGAAACGGCAACAAGATTAAACAAGAGAACTCCAGGACGACTGGAAACCAACACAAAGATCTCCAAACTATACCACAGAAGCATAATCTCAGCATGCAGCCTGGAAATGCTTTTCTGGCTACTATTACAACTACGTGAAAGTTTCAGAGAGGCAGTTCAGAGAGAGCAGGGTAGAGGAAAAGCACACATTTAGCACCAGCAATGGCTTATGCAGATCATTCTAACTGTAAAATTTCTGTGCAACAACAGCATGACTTTAATTTTATGGCACAAGTTTACAAGTTTGTGAAGTTTATTTCAGATTATTTCAGATTGTGCTGCTACTGTTTTCCATCCCCTTCACCCTTTAAGGAGGGACAACTTATGAGTTTTTTGACAGAAAGAAAACACATCTACAGGACTTCAAAGTTTCCAAATTAGCTGTCTGCATGTCATTGTGTCATATTGTGCAGTTTTAACATCCTGTGACACATCAGTGCTAAGAACAAATTCTGTACTTTGCAGGAAGAGGAAAAGCATCCAATGCAATCAGTTAAGACTTCAAATTCTTATCCCAGAGTTTCTTAGGGTACAGACTGATTTCTTTCTCAGATCCAAGGAATTTGAAGGAAAAACATGAACACAACAGGTACCACTGGTGGATCGTCACTGCATTCCAGTGCACTGGACTGGCTCCATAGTCATGAAAATCCATCACTTCCAACACTTCTCACCTGCCCAAAGGCTGCCCGACCGTGCTCAAAGCCACCCACTTGCAGTCGCTTTTTGACCACGTCCAAAGGGTACGTGAGGGTTTTGCTGATGATCCCAGCACAGCTGCCACAGACAAGGTTTTTAATGTTGCCTGAGAAGCAGAAAGGTAAGAGGATAGCAGGGAGGGAAAAAAGAGGATTAGCAGGAGTTGTGATTCAAGATCATAAGACGTAGGTAAAAAAATCACTTTTCACAAGAAGTAAGGTCAAAAAGGCCCTTTGAAGTTACATGACATAGTTTGGGCCACAGCACCTCAGTCTGTATTTTCTAGGTCAGGCTCACAGTGTCCACTGGAGCCAGAGCCCGTCTCTCTCTTCAAGAGCCCAACAGTTCCTCTTGGTCCATTACACTGACCTATGGTTTTGCTCTGCCAAACCTAACCCCCAGTCACCAGTGAACTTGCTGCCAGCAGATGGAAACATTTTCATGCTGACAGCAAAAGCCTGGTCACTGGATATTTTGCAGCCCTGATTGCTCAAACTGACTTATTGTGGATTGGAATGTCACAAGTTGGCACTGCCTGACAATTTCAGAGGCTTGTGGGAAATAAGTTCTGTGTCTTCCCAGAGTAACATGACACAGTTCAAGAAGAAGACCCCTGGCCTGTGACACTTCACTTTCCCATCCACTCATTTCCATCGTGGTTATTCCATAACAGGAGCTGTTTGTAAACTCCACTGTACTTACTTTGGCAATATCTGTGCAGGGATAAGAATGAGAGGTGGGAAATACAGATACTTTTCAGATGTCGCATCAAAAAGGGTGAAAGGACTGAGAACTGAGCTCACATCAGTCACCCAGACTAACATTCCTCCTCCTTCTCTCCTGGCTGCAGACATCACTGCCCCAAAGTGCCTACCTCCTTTCTTTCCTTCAGCTGGAATCACCCATTCCGAAAATTGCTGCAGGATGTTGTAGAAGAAGAACTGGAGACCAGCATATGGGAAGATAGCAATGAGTGTGGGGGTCAAACCTCTGTAGAAAGTCCGAGGCCCTTCCGTCTGGTACATGGTCACTATTGCATGGCGAAGGTTGGGATAGATCTGGATGAGGAAGAGCAAACCAAAGGTCAGGTCATTTCCCAGTAATGGGGATAGGAATTTCCCATCACCCAAAAAAACAACAGACTGTTTTAAGCACAAAGTGATGAGCAAGGTGACTTTGCATACCCTCAAACAGAGTGACTTAGAAGAAACAAGGCACAGAGCTGAGTCCTGAGACCACTTGCATCACAGACATGATGTTTATTTTTGTCTCAACAGCTCTGCTTATTCCTGCAGCACAATTCATATAATACATATTGTGATTCTACTGCAGGCTAAGTAAAAACCCAGAAATGGCTCTGATACAAATCTATCTACCTCTGGTTACTACAGACCTAATTTACATGCAGACCAATTCTTGTGTAAATAAGAACATGAAACACAGGTGAAAGGTAACTGGTTTCAAATATCATCCCTATCATTACCTAAACATGAGTCTGTGTAAGTGGAAGATTTCAAAACCACAATGTTCAACAGCCTGAGGAAGGGATTGTATAAATGGCCAACAGGTGAAGTGAACACTGAGTTATCCTGTTAAGGACAGTTTCTCCTTTCTGGATCATCTGTCAGGAGTCAAACACAATCAGGAGCAGCAAAACATAATTAAGAAAGCTGTGTCAACAGCACAGTGGTAACCTGGCAACGGCGCAAACACTGCCCATCACAGCACCTGCTCTTTCATTGTAACCCACAGGCCGTGTGTGCTTTCAAACCTCCTGTGTTCAGACAGGTGCAATATCGCTACGGCTACGGGTGACAGTCCCAAACCCTGACCCCTCAGCCTCACCTTGGGCTCGCCCTGAGCAGCGAAGCGGGTGCGCAGGGTGTCCACAGGCTGCACTGCCACGGTGGCTGTGCAGGCAGCCAGGCCCCCGCAGACCAGGTGCACGAAGGAGCCGCGGGCGCTGTACGAGGTGACGTTGTGCACCAGCTCTGTCAGGCTCTCAAACGCCATGAACTTCCAGAAACAAACGGACACAGGTCAGGAAGTTGATTCTTCTGACTCACAGGGATCTCCCACTCCTCTCTTGTTTCACCAAGAGCTCCGCCCCCCTGCTTGCAACCACCTTCTCTGTCTGTCCTTCAAAAGTCCTCCCCAACTTGCAACGTGTAAAAGTCACTAAGCAGCCCAGGGAACACCTGGGACATTCTGGTCTCTGACACTTCTGCTAATTCTTGCATTTGGAATCATGAAAAACTCACTTTAATGCTCTGTGTACCCTGAAGAGCATTCACTGTGTTACAGATACACTGTCGGTTACCCTTTCAACCACTGCTCAAAAAACTATTGTTAATATTTACAAATTAACAAGAAACATGCTGTGTAAAACACCCTCATCAGCTTCACTGATTATTTCCTAACAAGCCCTTATGGTGACAGCACGAACAAAAGCAAAAAACTACCCTGGCTTGGGACATCAACAGTGTCAGGAGTAAACAGGGCTTGCCTGTGACACCAGATATAGCCAGAGCTCAGTTTGCTCTTGTTGTGCTTCTGGCTGCTCAGCAAGCTCAGGAATATTAACTCAGGAATTATACATCAGTTTTATACAGCTACACATCCTCGAGACTGGCACTAGTTCGTGTCAGTGCAGTGTAAGCCTGGGCCTTCCCACACCTGCCCACGCAGGGAAGGGAGTAGGGCAGTGCCCTGTGTGCTCACACTGGGCCCAGGTGATGTCAGGTCACCTCACCTGAACAGCTCCGTAGCCAACTGAGAGGAACTGAGCGGGAACATGGCCCTTCCAGAAGGCTCCCAGGCCCTCCTCCCGGAAGATGCGCTGCACAGCTTGCAGGATGCCGTGGTACTTGGCCGTGGGGTTTCTGGAGGAGAGCTGCTCGATCTGGAGCTGGAGGAGAAGGGAGAAAATATTTTCCATTTCACACTTCAACAAGGTTCAAGTATCCAGTTCAGGAATCCACAACCCTGTCAGCCAGCCAATGCTAAAATACGACATTCTGCCATCCCACAGAACCACACCCAGATCTGACTGGGATGTTATTTATGTGGGGCTCCAAAAGAATAAAAACGTGCATGAACACGAAGGTAAGCAAGTAGGGATGGGGGTGAAATTCAGTCAGGTAGTGGAAACCATTCACAAAATCAGAGAAAGAGAACAAACTACGAAAAACACGCGATCCCATTCAAAGGGATCCCATTCCCGCACAAGTTAAGTTATGTAAGTAGAACCGTTGGTCACAAGACAGCCTTGTTACCTTGGGTAACCTGTACACACCGCCGGTGAGGGCTGAGAAGCAGATTTAGTGCTCTCTGGCCGCACAAGTGACCTGTTCACCCGGGACAGGATCCGCTCTGCTCCCTGACAGGCTCTCCCACCCGCTGCCCCCGAGCACGCCGCGAGCGAGGCACCTGAAAGCGGATCTTGAGGACATCCAAGGGGCTGATCAGGACCCGAGTGACCAAGCCGGACGCCGACCCTGCTGCGGCCGCTTCCACCGTGGACACGCACTTGGCCTCGGGGTCGTAGCCCACCATGCCTGCCGGGTGTCCTGGGCAGGGGGAAGGGGCTGTGAGCCCTCCTCACACACGCGGCTCCGTCCCGCACCGAGTCCACAGCCTCACCCCCCCGCACGGACCCTCCACCCCGCAGCCTCCTCCTCGCCCCGCAGCCCACACAGACCGGCCTCACCACCACCCCCGCGTCCCCACAGCCCCGCCCGTGGCAGGACCGGCGCGGGTCGCAGCGGATCCCCGGGGCCACCGGGGGTGTCGCGGCCCTGGGCCGGGTCCCGCCGCGCCGCCTCACCCACCGGCTCCGCACTGCGCCTGCGCCGCGCGGGGGCCGCTGGGAGGTGTAGTCCCGGGAACGGCGCCCGCACCGGCTCCGCAACGTGTGCTGGATGGGGCGTTCACGGGACCGCGGGGTCAGCGAGGCTGGAAAACACCTCTGGGATCATAGAGTCCAACCTATGACCGAAAATCACCGTCTCAGTCAAACCATGGCACCACGTCCAGGCTTTCCTTAAACATCTCCAGGAACGGGGATTCCACCACCTCCCTGCACAGCCCGTTCCAATGTCTAATCACCCTTTCTGTGAAAGAATTCCTCCTCATGTGCAACCTCCCCTGGCACAGCTTGAGCCTATTACTTCTTGTCCTGTCCCTTGTTCCCTGCGAGTAGAGCCCAAACCCCCTGGCTCCCCCCTCCTGTCAGGGAGTTGCAGAGCCAGAAGGTCCCCCGGAGCCTCCTTTTCTCCAGGCTGAGCCCCCCCAGCTCCTTCAGCTGCTCCTGGTACTCCAGACCTTTCCCCAGCTCCATTCCCTTCTCTGGACACAAGAAGAGCAACACAGCCCTGCACGGTCCCATGAGCCAGAGCCATGAGAGGGGAAGGTCAACTTACACAACCGCGGCAGCTACAAATGCTTTCTTGCCTCTATAAAGCACAGGGGAAACAGGGTTGTCTAAGCTACCCCAGGAACAGCAGCACACCACTTCGAGCAACATGTTCTCTTATGGCATAACAAAAAAGCCAAGGGCTCCGAAACACACTGCAAATTTTCCATACTAACTTCTGCCACAAATACAGATCTAATCATAGGAATATCCAGGCATTTCTGAGCAACCACCTTGCCATCATCATTTGAACATAATAACCAAGAGCAACTGTTTAAAGAACACCCAAGCTCTCCTGTGGGCCTTTTCCTGACATGTATCACAATTGACTACAACATTCACATTATTCACAGGCATTTTCTGACCGTAAGAAAAGGCTGGGGAGAAGCTGCAGAGCCCACGGACCAGCCGCTCCTGACAGGTGAGCTCCCAGCCTGCCTGCACACCTTGTGAGCACAACTGAGCAGTTGTTTAGGCATCAGAAGTGAAAATCTGCAGGGCACTGATGGAGCAGAGCCAAAGCCACAACAGCCTGAGCCCCAGCTGTGCTCACACCAGCCATACACCCCCCTTCCTGTCTTCAGCAAGACACTCCACAAGTGTCTGAACAACGATGCTCAAGAGTCTGAGCATTTTCAGGCCAAAGCACACCTTGCAGCTTTTCCCTCCCACAGCAGTTTAACATCATAAAAATTATCAATTATCATATTTTGGTCAATTCACTGAAATAACAGACAGATGCTCAAGTGAAGAATTCAATGTATATTTATTATTCACAGTTAATTACTATCTACCAAATGCTGCTGCAGAGTTAAAGGATTAAGTACATAGGCCTTTTTTTATTTAAACACTGATTTTTTTTTTAATATATATACACACACAAGACATATGTCTGCAAGGCTGCATGATATACACCAATTCCAAAATAAGGAAACAATCAAATGGTCCAGGTGTAGAATGCCATAGATTCCTTTTCCAATCACTTTACAAAGAGGGAAGAAAGTGAGTTGACAGCTAGCAAGGAGAGGGGGAGAAAGTAATACTCTACAGGATAGCTCTCTCTTTCATTTGCTGGAAAATTAAAGTGTAAGGCAGAGTCCATCTCAGGAGTAAAACACTTGTAACACTTAGTACAAAAAAAGGCACCCTCCAACAAAAGATTGCCCGTGCTCAGACAGGGCGGGAGGAGATCTCCGCTGCAGGTTTGGATTCGTTGGTGGGGTGAAGGGATCCAGCCAAATGGCCACCAAAGGAAAAATAATGCAACTGAAGATTGGCACAGAGCGTGGTGTGGATTGATTGCCTTCCTTCCGTCCAATTCAATGTCAAACTGCCCCGGTGAGGAGCAAAGGGCCGCCAGAGCCGCCCCTGGGGTGCGGGTGGGGAGAACAGTCACGGTCACACACAGCCTGCTGTGAACGGGAGCTACTCCAACAGTAACACTGACCTGAGGAGGGAGGAGAGACTGGAGAACAGGGATGGCCAACTCCACTTCTCAAGAGCAACACGACTGCAAATGTTCCCTATCCAGGCCGAGGAGACAGGCTGGTCACATGCATCACATAGAGACATTCACTAAGAGCGTAAAGGTTTTTCAAGCACTATTTCTTGAGGTTTCTCTGCGTCGTAAAGTTTTCCATCAAAGGAATGTACATTTTATAGGACATGTCAGGGCTATTATTCCTCAAATTCCCCCCTTAACCCTCCCTCCCCAAAATATTCTTCCTCATTTTCCCTAGTCATAACTTTCCCCTTTCTCTTACTTCTTTTGAGGCTCCTGGTTGCAGCTCTCCACCTCTGAGCAGCCTAAGTTGCCACTTGAATGCCTTGATTTTATTCTCCTTGGAATAAGGGAAGTTGAACAGTAAGACAAATCTGAAGATTAAAGCTCCATCTCTGTTTGTAGATTTTTCTCAAGTGTCCATTGATAAAACCACCCTCTTTTACCCCCTTCCCCCAAAGTATTTATTTACATGTAGGCAGAAAAAAAACCCTCTGAAAAGCTCTGGACTGTCCTTTTAACTTAAAAAATAATAAAAAAGAAAATAAGGGAAAGGCACTATGGAAAAATTACAGAATGTGCTCAACCGTACACCTTTAAGAAAAAACAAAAAAGCTGTCAGCACAGCATTAACAGACTTCAGTTGTACATTGGAGTTTCTCAAAGCAGCTCTGTGACTCAAAAGAAAAAATAGAACAAAAAGCCACACAACTCTTCTCCCTTCCTCTGCTTGGAAGCTGCTGAGCTTCAGAAGAAAGTGCCAAAGGAGAAGAGACAATAAAAGTTAGATTAACACCTCATCTTTCCCAGGCAAGAAGAGCTGAATGTTGAAGGCAAAAGCAGAGACTGATGATTTTTGTTTTTTTTTAAAGGCAGGACTGTGGATTTGGTTCTTCTCTCATGTCCCTTCATGTCAAATGAAGACCGTTTGCAGAGAGAGAAAATACCAGCAGAGTTTCTCCCTTTTCCTTTAACTGCATGGCTAGGACTTTATATGGCATTAAAACTTCATGCACTGATGGACAGAGGAGGAGGGGGAAACAAGAAGAGTTGTGGTGGTGCGACCTTAAGTGACCTTAAAACACTCATTCGCGACAAGAGTGAATAAAAGGGGATAACCCAGGAGCAGCTGAGGAAATTTGTTATTTTCATTTTTCTCTCTCTCTCTCCTTTTTTTTTTTTCTTTCTTTTTTTTTCTTTAAGATAAGTTTTGGTGTGTAAGTTGAACTCTTCCCCCCCTGCCCCTGAAGTTCCGTACTGAGGGAAGGAGGATCACCTCACGGTGAAAGGTGACTCTGGTTTTATCGCCGTGTGATTTTAGGTCACTGGCTGCAGTTAGGCTCTGTATGTGTATTTACTGTTTCTCTGGTTTCCTTAAATAATCTCTAATATTTATCTCTAGATGTTCCGGTTCACTGGGGTCACGTAGTTGCGTGGAAACATGCCCGTCTGTCCGCGGCAGGCTCCCTTCCACCAGTTGGGGTCAGAATTGTCAAGGACTTGGATAAAGTCTCCACGATGGAAGCCCAGCTCTCCTTCCTCTTGGGGATCAAAATCAAACAGGGCCTGAACGTATGTTGGTTGCTGAAAGGGGAAAGAAAAACATATACAGAGTGAGAATCACCCTCGGCACTCAAGACAGCTGCTCCCTGGGGCAGGAGCTGCACTTACACCCCAGTTTAACAATAAACATTCTGGCTGGTTTTTTTCCCAGCTTCCAATATCTGCAACAAGGTGCTGAAACAGGAAAGCACAGGCTACAGAAGACCTTAGAAATAAGACAAGTTTCTGTGAAAGAGCTGAAATAAAGAGAGCAAATAATTCTGATGTTTCTCTAGTATTTTTCAGTCTTTGTGATCCACTGGAAATCTGTGCTCTATTGCAATAGAATCATCTTGCTGCTTATTCATTCTGTTGTCACCTGGCAGCACAAATATTACTAATCTACCTGTGATACACAAAGTTCACCCTAAAAACTGGATGTTGGCATTTTACACATTTTCCTTAAAACTCTCTTCTGTCGCAGAAGACTTGGCCTTGTCAGCAAACACTTCCATTCTTATGCTAACAGTTCATTTAAAATGCATTTGCAGTCTTGAAATCATGAGGCCAGGAAGGTCTCTTCATGCTTGTCCTTTTCAGCCAGGTATTTTCTCATCCTGTTTATCCCTGACCCAGCAGTGCAGAGCCACATGTTAATTCAGACAGACCGTGACACAGGGTGCAGCTGGAGAGCAGTTTGAATTCCTCACCCTTTTCTTCAAGCTAGAACCAGAACGCTGCACGCAGAAGGCAAAAGGATTTATCCAAAATTGACAAAACATGCAGTTACGTGCAATATAACCCTCTGATTGACCTGGGAAATGAAACAAAAACAGAGAGCTGGATACACACAAGCTGCTCTGCTGACACTTCACAGTAGTTTTTGGATTTTCGTAACACTGGCTAGATCCAAACCAGAGCGGGGATGTTCCATATGCTGTGACCATCTCTTCAGGAAAGCCCAGCACCAAATTCTCACTGGATCTTGAGGGGTGCAGTTCTGGCTATGAACCAGCATACAGCAGAACAGAATCACAGAATTGTTTAGGTTGGAGAAAACCTTTAAGATTACCGAGTCCAACCATTAACCCAGCACTTCCCTATCCTTTCTTACTGTGTCCTATAACAGGAGTAAATCCATTTTTAATTCAAAGGAATCAGATGATGTTCCTGCAACAGAATCCATAAACATTACAACAAGCCAAATGTTCAAGCAGCAACAATAACACTTTGCCATAGTTCAAGGGAGACCTGGGAGTGCAGGTAGGCTTTGCACAAGAATGCAACTTATTTACCAGTATAATTTTGACAGCAGGACCTAAAGATACACTTCCACAGACAAGAAAGATCTCAGTC